TTTTGGTTACCGAATCAGCGGGTTTTGGTTACCGAATCAGTGGTTTTGGTTACCGAATCAGACGTTTTGGTTACCGAATCAGACGTTTTAGTTACCGAATCAGCGCTTTTAGTTATCGAATCAGCGCTTTTAGTTATCGAATCATAGTTACCGAATCAGACCGTTTGGTTACCGAATCAGACGTCGACCGTGCAGCATTTGTTGCAGATTCCCTCATAGTATCCCTTCATCTGTTCCATTGTTGTGGTCTTCCATGAATCTGCACCATGTGGATGTTCGATGGCATAGTGACTCTCATTCTCTTTGCTCACCTTGGCGACTTCAGGGACCAATGCCAGATGCGTTCTTTCATCTCTTTCTCGTTGCTCTTCCAATTGCCTCCTTTGCTTCTCAGTGCGACGATTCAATTTCTGCATTGCTGACCACTTCTTGCAAGGTGGGGCTATCCAGACGAAGTCGGGGGACACCTCACGAAGTAGTTCCACGAATTCTTTCCGCACTTCTTCTCTTTCGAAGTCCCATTCAGGAAGAGAAAAGGTGGAGGCTTCCACATCTGGATACTGCGTCGCCAAATGCACTGCCAAGTTTCCTTCATCCACATACACTTCAAAGAACTTCAATTTCTTCTTCTCGTTGAGTCGCTTGACTACTCGGTCAGCCAAGTCATCATTTTTCCATTCTTCATTCATCACCATGGTCTTGCCGTTCTCATCTTCTCGAATCACCAGGCTTTCCTCCATCACCGGTTCGATGTTCCAGACATCGTCCATCTTCTCTTTCATCACCTTCGTTCCTGGAACTAGTCCCAGCTCGTGCACGAACTCACTCTGGTAGAAGGCATCTTCCATCACATAGTCGTTCTGGTACATCATGAGGTCCAGGATGTAATGGCCTTTCTCGTTTCTCTCAGGCCTGAACCAACCAGACGATCCGATTTTCATCAATCCTTCTTTGTAGTCGTGCACCACCCCCATTCTTCCAAGGTCGGCCTTGCCAACAAGAAGGGTGTATTTCCAGGAACTACTGACACCGTGACCGGCAGCTTCTGTCCATGCGTCACCGCCGTGAAATCCACCTCATAGAGCGACTGGAGCATCTCACCACCTCCGAACTTGAAGCTTCTCTTCACTGGTCTCGAGGTGATTGGTTTTGCCATCTTTTCATCATACGATTCCAGCCATCGATGCCAATTTGATTCACCAACAATTGTCCTGGTTGCACCACTGTCCACAATGGCTTTTCCTTTCTCGGTGGTCATGAAGAAGCATTGTTCATCAATCTTCCACCATCGTGATCTCCTCAGGAACCTCCTTGATACCCTGAACTTGACTTCTGTATCTCTTGAACCTGGGTCCATGCTGTGCCGTCGAGCCGGACAGGGTCGACTTGTCATTGATGTTGTTGGTGATGGCGCTGGCGCTTGGCTTTCTCAGGCCAGACATCGGTCTCCTGTTGAAGGGTCGTCGCATGAATCCACCACTTCCTTTGCCTTTTGACTTGCCTTTGCCTTTTCCTGACTTTCCTTTTCCTTTTCCGCTGCCTTTGCTTCCTCCTTCTCCTTTGCTGCCTTTGAAGCTGTTCCTTTCGAAGTCAGGACTCAAGGCAACAACAGGGTAAAATCCCCGAGACAAAGCCAACTCTTTCATGCGCTTGCGACTCTCGACGTAGCTGACATATGCTTCATCAGCCTGATCCATTGCCTCTTCGAGTTCCTCCGGCACATCATCTTCATCGTCATACTCGAAGAAGGCTTCATCATCTTGCCACCATTCTTGATCTCCGGTCATGTCGTCAACCGCATACTCTTCAAACCATTCATCATCATCATCTTCAAAGTATGCCTCCTCCTTGACCGTGGTGCCAGGTCGTACCAAATCTCGTGCTTGTGGCACGGTGATCTCCTCTAAACATACGGATCAGTGCCTTGCCGACCTTTTCATACTCAAGATCACCTGAGCACATTGCTTTGATCTGAACATGGGTCCAACGGGGTACACCTGCACGAGTCAACAAATGCCAACCCGACAACAATGGCGGCACTTCCACATTGACCTCCTTCATCCTCTTCAACAGAGTTCGGTGCCTGATGAGGTAGGCCTGCAACTCTTCTCCCTTGTTCCTTCCGAACTCACTGAAGAACTCATCGCACCGGGAAGGAACCTCGATCAAGTCCTCGTACTGGTAGAGGTTGTCCAACAAACGAAAAACTGCTTTGAACGGCCGGGTTGCTTGTTCGATGTCATCGAAGTTCAACTGTTCTGTCGCGTCCCAGGCTACATCTCTCAATCTGCTTATCACCAGATATGCTCCCTCCACCGACGTGTCATGTCCACGCCTCATGCACTGCTTCTCAAACAACTCCAGGCGTCGCCTGTAGCTGCGGTAGTTCTTCTGTGTGAGGCCATCTGCTGAAGTTGAAGGACATGCTTTCGCCAATCCTGAGTCCAAACCTTTGGATGAAGGGCTCGGTGTGAAGGGCAACTGCAATGCTGGTTCCTCAACGTTCGCAAACAGTCCTCTGCCAGTCTGTGGGATCTGTGGTGGCCCCGATGGTCCAGGCATGGTGGTCCTGGCTCTTCTCACCGGAGTCCTCCTGGGGCTTCCGCGCTCTGCCCTGACATGAGTGACGAACTTACCCTCGACTTCCTGAAGGAAAACGAAGAGCGCCTCAACCAAATAGGGTGCCGTCGGAGCCCTCAAGCTGGACCGCCTCCAGCTCCGCTACCAATCTCATTGTAGAAGGTGAACAGCACGCTAAGTCCGCACCTTTATCTCGCACACGAAGGTCGTGAGGTTTGTGGGTCGTGCCACGTTTCAGTAGCTCAAGGGCCCTAAATGGCCACACATGTACACATTCATGAAAGAAACATGCCGCATTTCGTGTTGTGTGATACGGCACTCAGACCCAGAAGTGAGTCGCAGTTAGTTTGCTTTTGCCGTCGATTTCGATCCGTTTTCAACACTATCCATTTCGACGCCATTCACAGGCGCTTTAAATCTCGAACAGTTTGATCTACTGAGGCTACCCTTCCATCCACACTGATGATGAGCAAGCTGACGAGGCGGGGTTTGCTTTCTCGTCAACAACTACTTCATAGCTCTTTTAAAATACATATTCTTCACAGGGAGAGGGATAGATATACATATACAGTGAAGTTGAAGAAGACTGAGTTGCTAGAACGTGCCTGGGTGACATTCCACAATTGTGTGAACCACGTGCAAGTCCGACTGTACTTACAGTACTGCCTGTGACTACCTCTTCTCACTGCTAACTTTGATGAAGCCCTAGTAACATCATGTATATAACATCTACTAACCCTAGTAGATCCTAGTAGATTCTGGAGGAGGAGTGACCTGGAGGTTCTTTTTGAGAGCTGGCCACTGTGAGCGTGCGCTTTTTTAAGGGGTTCATTTATATTTTGGTAAGCCCTTATAATGCTAAACATATCAAAATGAAAACTGGTGCTTACAGGCTGTAAAATTGGTGCATTTCCTGGTGTGTGGTCTGGTGTGTGGCAATGTTTGTCAATTGTGTATGGTTTTATATTTATCAAGGTCGACATAAAAAGTTGTGCAAACCTGGGTGTTGAGACGAATGTGGCTTCATTGAATGGTGAAAGGGCGGTGCTAAACCTGGTGTTGAAATGGATGTTGATGAATTGAATGGTCAAAAGATTGCGCAAAAACTGGTGTTGAAACAGAAGGGGCTTCATTGCATGGTCCAAGGAGGTGTAAAACTTAGTGTCGATAGTGTCGAAACAACCGTGGAGTCCCAAATCAAAGCACCAGAGATGAAATACAAGATAAATAGTAGATCAGCGCTTTGAGATGCGCTATGCTTTTTCCAGATTTGCAGTGAATGCTTGGACCGCTGCCCGGCAGGCTTGTCTTCATACACGCGCAGAAGATTTAAAGTCAAAGTCAAATGATGTGTTCCCACATGCATGTGCCGGACAAATGTTCCGGTTTTAGTGATATGATATGATATGTATGATAAGATACGTTGTACTGTGTACGGTACCAGAAAAATCTTGCCCGAACTTGCTTCCGCTTGACGCATTAGCAACGCCTGCCATGTTGGCAAATTTATATCGGCGGCAGAGTCATGACCGATCCAGAAGCCCCAGCAGCTCTCGAAGAGGTCGGGAAGAGGTCGGGAAGAGGTCGGGAATAGGTCGGGAAGAGGTTGGGAAGAGGTCGGGAAGAGGTCGGGAAGAGGTCGGGAAGAGGTCGGG